CTCTGGACCGCAGATGTCTATGGTGGGGAACGAACGCGCTATTGTCCTTTCCGGGGAGTAACGCGTTCACTACCACACCATGCGGGCTCTTCGTTTCGCCTGTCTCTCAGCTATTTCTATGGATCTTTGCCGCAGTAATCACACGTCAGCGGGATTGATAGCTGAGAGACAGGCGAAACGAAGGACCCGCATGGTGTGGTAGTGAACGCGTTACTCCCTGGAAAGGACAATAGCGCGTTCGTTCCCCACCATAGACACCCGCGGTCCAGAGTTTTGCAAATATCTCAGCAACGTTGTGGTTGTATCACATAGATCCTCATAAGGTCGCTACATTATAATAAATTCACATGTAATATCAGCAGAAGCTCGTCAAAGAAGCATGTAAGTATCTACACGCATGGATTTTCGAGACACGCTTGCACTCAATGCATAAAAGTTAGTTAGGAAGAAGCACTTCATAATTTAGTAACAACTACAGCATTTGTTCTACGAACCTTTACACCCCAATGCTCGGTACCCTCATCAAGGATCGTCTCACATAGTTGTGCGATAGCCTCACGCTCCGTTAACATTTCTGTGAGGGTTTTCATACCTATAACAAGTTCGTTAAGAACAAGAAGAAAAATTACATGTAGTATAATTCCATATGTGGTATAATTCTAATCGATGCCTACCCAGAGCGTTCCTGAGTGTAGTTTGAGCCAGAAGTTTCGTCGAATATATAGCGTCATCAACGTTGTTCACAGATGCAATAGGATCGGAAGTGCGGAAGTAAACGACGGCGTCGACTGATACGGTTACCGAATCTTTTGATAAGATCTCTTGAGGAGGTACGGCATAAGACACGACCCTGGAATAAACGGCGATTTACATTTTCTCATTCTGACTGTTAATACTTAGTGAACTTCACAAAACTGGAAGCTAAAATCTTTTATAATTTTGTGCATACTAATAGAAGAGGGCCTAACAGATCTAGTTAGTAGTGAACCTGAGCTGGATCTTAGGCAGAGAAAACGGTCTTGGTAGAATGTCTAATACTGTAGTATTTATAAATGGCAACGTTAAATGTGACCAAATCGCTCTGACTTCGTCACTCACTCTCACCTTAGATCGATTTTCCTATACGTATCAATGCAAGGTATGATGAAAATCATTCCAGGCCCACGTGCTCCTCCAAATACTAATCGACCAATGCGGAAAATTACAACTCTCTCGTACTCTTTGATAACCTGGAACGCAATGTTGACAGCTCTTATACTTATTGACGTTTTTGTGGCAATCACAGAAGATGTCGCAGCAACGTTTCATGCATGAAAAAATTCCGCGCCAATCCTACTGGACAGTGGACGAGACAATCATTATTGTAAACCATCTTACTATTTAGACATAAATGCTACGGATTTTGCTTACATACGCTTTCCACTAAATGTCATGTATAGTCGTGGCTAGTTTGCAGATTTAATTTAGTAATATCCATCTGAGCTGTGCGTAGCGCAGTAAACACGTGGTTAGAGGTGCACTACAATATACAGGCGTCCGTTGGTTTAATGCTTAGTCCCGATACTATCAAGCCCTCCATGCTTTCGCAGTCGGCAGAGAGACACCAGATTTGTCGAGGACAGCAGCACTGGCTCTATATATCAGCCAGCTGCCGCGTGTATAGACCAGATGTGAATTGAAACACCTTTAACCATGTTTGATAAAGTTGGATGCATGACGTATTGATGAACACCGAATAATTTATCCTTCAAGCTTCAACATTTACTATCCACATAACCTACCACTTTCTGTAATACAGCCTTCTATGCCTTCGATAACAATGAGTTTCGAGCAGCACTCAAATTTTAGACATTCTATAGTCCACTATCACAATGGAGGAGTATTGTGGAGACAAGCAGCTGTTCGTTGGTGTCCAACTGCTATGAACTATAGTGGATTGCTGCAGTTCAAACAAAAATCTAGCCGCATCGTTGCAGAACCAGTTCGAATCCACGATAGCAGAGCACTGATTGCTAGTTGGTAACAGGCTTGGGTGTGTTTCGGTACCAGTACAACAGCACCTCGTCGAGAAAAGGATTCGGCCAGAAGCAAGTTAGTCTAATGAGAATCATCGGGTTTTAATGTTATAAAAGCATTCAAAATGCTTAAATTTAGCAAGAATACTACCTAAGTAAACATGGAAAGAGTGGGACATTCTTTTTCTTCCACTCAAAAACATAGCAGAAAAATATTCATATAATGAATAGTATTTTATTCAAAAAACAGGTGTTCAATTCAGTGATAGAACATTTCGTCCAATAAAATGAGTTTTAAACTTTGTCAAAAGGAATCGTGACCTTTCAAGAATGCAATACTTTTGATGGGTAATTAAACATAATAGACGGTGTCGTTCTTCGCCGAATTTAGTTTCATCAAGAACAACTCATTGCCATGCGGGACTGCCTTCTACGACCACGAAATACCGATGCCAATAGCTATTTCTTTACGTTTCAAACAATTCATTGCTGGATGCTTTCGACAGTGTTCTTGATAGATAACAACATAAGGTCATGTTCAATGTTGTCAGTTGACACTTACATCGTTGAGATGCGATGAATTAATGGATTAATAAAACCCGAGATAAAAATTGCTAGTTGCGACATTTTAAGAGTTTTTTGCTTACTTTTGCACCGATTTTCCAAAACTTTCTCTATAAAAACCCAGTAATTGTGACCTAAATATCTCTTTTTAACAATCGTCACTCCCACCTTTAGACAGACGCACATGGAGAATGGAAAAGTGAGTATAATGAGAAGCCAGGATAGGGCGACGAGAGCGTAGCCAAATATGGTACCAATCGTTTCGTAATCCGGTGGAACATCCTGAATGAGAACAGTTCATCATCCGAAAACTAAAAAAGGCATTGGAAAATGTGCTACATTGTGAAAAGAAGAGAGGCCGAGGTAGTGCGGTTAAGAAATTTGTTTATTACTCTTCTATATAAAATAAGTGAGTACAAAGCCCATGGCATCGTGTCGGAAAATATTAATGTAGATAATAAGTGAACAAGTAAATAAAAGATGCTAAAAATTGAAAAAAATAGCGTTGCACATGTCAGAACTGTCATTCGCTTCGTGTGAGTATAAAAACGTTTCTCAAATCGATTCTTTGATATTTCTGAGATGGGTCCAAAAACAACAATGTTGAGTATGGTCACGAAATACGTAATGTCGAAATTATCTGAGAACGAAGTTATCGCAGCAAATCTAGCCTTAATGAGAAATCGATTCCATTTGCACTCATTTTAGGATATTTACGCGACGACACGTAATTTTGCGTGGCTGTCGTGCGAGACAAGGCCTAAATCCTTGTCAATTACAGAGTTTCTGGTTTTCCGATAATAGACGATGATTTTTTGACAACTAGAAGACTCGAGGGATTGAGAACATAATGGAATTATAGGAGAGACTGCACTATCTCTCGAAAGGTGTGAGTGGTTTTGGCAAGTGTGCTACACCCGATACAAATTCTGAGTTGGATAGGCCAGCAGATGAATAAAAACAGACCTCTCTGCAACAAAAAAAAAACGGTGAAAAAATCCTCGATGAAGCTCACGACGTTCACAACGCACCGTCACCTATGACTCCTATGCAGGTCACATCGTTGAGTAAGTGTTTAGGTATTGTTAACTTTTCACTTGCTCCCTGCTATAAATTTTCACAGATATTGTTGCGCATGAAATTTATCAATATTTAACCAATGATAATCGAATATAGCATTCTTGGCCACATAAAATTCTCTTCAGAACAACGTGTAGAATATTGTTCCCACATCTCTCATGAGCAGGTTGACATAAATTATACAGGTTCATGGATTCCTCTGTTTCTGGATGGGCACTAAATAAAGGGTTTTTGAAACTGTAATAATCACGTGTTCGAAGAGCGTCCACAGATGACTACAGAAAAGTCGAAGTTATTTCTGACTTTGCTAGAGTACTGCTAAACTTGTGAATGAAGTTGCTGTCTTGCAATTAGTACGCGTTTCTGGACTTGAATTAATGAAAACAGTGTTTTGAGGGCATCGACAACTGTAACAAGCATTTCTGTCTTGAAATAAGTGCAAAACTTCCTCAACACACAGAAATAGATATAAAATCCTTCTAACGCATAAATCACAGCGAATTTTTGAACATTAGGCTTAGCAACTTCAACACAACACGCCACGACACCTAATCTTCTGTTGCAAACGCGAGCGCCAATGTCAAGTTTTTAGCCGCGACTGCTTCAAATTGACGTCGACTTATAGTCGCCACAATTTCCTGGGAAGCGGTGAGCCCACTTCTTTCATTATGCTTTTCGCGCTGTAACTACAAGAAGCCCTCAGCCTAACGGCTCGGAAAACTAACAGTGTGTATCAGCAGCCAAACATAAAATAGGTGTTCAACACTTTCCTAACCTCGAATTAGCCCGCGATGCGACAGCTTTGGGTGTGACGAGTTCGGGCGGGCTGCTAAAGCCGGAAGGCCATCCCGGGTGGCTTAAATTTGGAAGAACTGAGGTCTGTGTCGGAGCTATATTGCCTGTACTTATAATGCTGGCTCACAAACATCCGAGTCCTTCAATGAGGACCTGATGATGAGAGCTAAGAAGCTTGGGTCATCGGGCTGGCGGAAACAAGAAGACCTTTTCTATTTAGCAATGGCTACGAGAGCGGACAAGAACTCCCCTCTATACACCGATAGTACAGAATTCGATGCTGATGATGTCCTGTTTAAAACAACTTTCACTTTGAACACCGACTTCTTCGGACCATTAACAACCCGAACCGGACGCCTAAAGTTGGAGAGATGTAGACCAACACGAGCTGTGAAATTTTTCATAATTTTCACTACCACATCAAGCTACAGAAAATACGATGTCGGAGCGTTCTATGCAGGTTTGAAAAAGTTTTGCAGTAAAGATTACATCTTCTTTAAGGCTTTTATTGACAGCTTCAAAACTGAAATTAGACTCAGGAGAATGTCCGAAGAACGCCATTTCGAGAATCACGGATTAGAAAAGAATAGGGTGAGAGGCTACCTGAGTGTATCATGATGACAAAAGCTATTCATTGTTATTAACAATTCGAGAAGCCTCATAATATCAACATTGGACCTGGGCGTCTCCCGATAGAGAGTGCTTCAATGAAATTGACGACATCACAGTAAATCAAAAGTTTTACTTAACGAATGTTGCTTTTGTCCTAAAACTACACGGGATCAGATCATTCACAATGTCCCTTTTTTCAAAAAAAGCAAAGAAAGCCACAAAATACGAGGAAATTCCATAACCACTGTAAAGCCAGATTTATTTAGATCATTAGTCCACTTTTCGAAGGATTCCGTTTTCAATAAAGCAGATGAAGAATATTATCAGCATATCCGATATTTTTACGTTAGTGCTGAAAAAATCCAAGAGTTCGAAAGCCACTAAGAAATGTCTGTATTGGAAAAACTTGAGCTAAAACGGCAGCGTAGATAGGCACGTGTCATAGACAACGCCAACTCACGATTGAATTTGTAAAAGGCTGTAGAAAGGCGATAAAAAAAACCTTAAGAAGACAGAAGAAGTAGTTATGAATGAATCTGAAGAGGTCGGGAAGAGGAGTAAGAATGACCCTCGAAAGTCCTACAATTACCAGGCTAAAGTCATTGTCTGCCAATTACCAGGCTAAGGTTATTGCTCTCAGTCCAGGATCTGAGAAAGGCGAAGTCGCCGAAACGTCAGCCATCGTTCAATAACATCAAAAACAACGACAACGACAACGAAGATCTGTACCAACTTCGCGTCAACTTAAGAAGATCAGTTTATAAGATCACAAATAAATATATCAACTATCTATGCCGAGGTTCATAGAAAGTCGGTCTTTCGAGTTATTGTTTCGAAAATTGTTAAGCGGCATAAATAACATCAAAGCGATAACCAGATTTATCGAAGTATCGCGAAAATACAAGAAATCGCATCTTTGCTGAGCTGAATAAAACTTTATAATCGGGATATCACCATTATATGACATTGTAAACATCGATGAAAAGAGGGTGGTTCGACAAAACGATACTATCTCGCCAAAAATATTCACATCCACTGTTGAAAATATTGGTCGAAAACTTTAATGGATAACATGAGAATGAGAGTCGATGATATTCAACACATTACCATTACCTAGCTGATGAAATGGTTTCATCGTTCCCGTAACACCAAGGCTTGACAAAATGGAACGAACGACAGGCAACTTTGATAAAAATTGTGGAAGACGAGTATTAGATTAAATTTCGGTAAGGCTATCTCTATGAAAAATATATTTGTTTCTAACACACTTTTCAAGCTTCATATAAATATGCCTCAATGCTACACCTATATGTGCATTGTGCAGAGTAGTCAACACGATGAACGACTTAGCTCCAGAGCCCACTAGGAGGAAGCGAGTGGATTTGGTAAACTCTCAAGAGTAACAATGTTGTAGTGAAAAATCTCGAATCCGTGCCCAGCATTTCACCCTAAAAATTCTTTCTACCTTAACATAACCATCGGAAACGTAGTAGCTTATTAGGCTAAGTGACTCATCACTTGGAAGAGCAGCCCAGAAGGTGACGTTGTAATTAGTCCAAATTACGGAGGCAAAAAAGAGAGAATGTTTAGTGCAGGCCAACGACGAGTAAAAATCGGAGGTTTTGCCGTCTACGTCAATATTTCGGTCAAAAAAGGTTTGTCGAAATGATAGGTTTTAACGACATTCGATATAGAAGAATGGGCAGTTACTGGGTCCAACGAAAAGTCAACTGCACAGTGGAAAGACCACCTGCCCGATTGTTAGAAATCTTGAAAACAATTCTACAAGAAAAGTAGGTCCGCGAATCAAACAAAACTCACTGGGCTTCTGCAGGCGGCAGAGACAAATGGAGAATTTGGTGGCGCACGTTCGGGTTACGATCAATGGTAGTACAGACGACAGAGCTAATAATACCACAGTATGTGAAGAAAATAAAACGCGTAATCGTTTCTATCATCTAAACTCAATACTGTCAGCTTTTCATAGTAGGTGCCACAACATGTATGGAGTAGTTCCCATTGCTTTTATGTATGCCCATGATCCAGATTTATCATAACCACTGAATGTGAAATATCAGATAGTATTAAGTTGCCAAAAAATGATTTTTTACATGTCTGTCTTAACATCTATTGCGTGGAACTCAGTCCTTCTTGTACTGAATTCGCTTCTTGTCATACACCGTTCACGAAGGTCTCCGAACTTCTTTCTACGTGGTTCCGCTGCTGTTTCGCGACCTTCGTCTTCGTTGTAAATGTTATGCCATCGAATACTAGCTGTGTCGATCCTCCGCGAGTCTTGGGAAAACCGAACGAAGATTGAAAAGGCACAGCTTGTTCCATGAAAATCAGCTACCCATTTTCTGACCCCAGGTGGATCAGATGCTGGGCGGTCCTGAGGTGCGCGCTGAGCCGCCACCACACTCGTGATGAGCTGTTACTTATTAAACATTACCGCTGCGAAACCTTAAACTTTACGTGCTTAATATAATGTATAGAATTTACGAAGATTTGCTCAAAAAGAGAAAAAAAGTGTAACTTTAACATATAAGTCGGCAGAAAATAATGAATGGAGGAGTTCTTTGTAAGAGCTTAGAAATTTAAAAAAAAGATGGACGTGGCTCAAAAAATTTCTTAAGAGGTGTCGTTGGAATCTGAGCGAAAATGGCTTTCCATTTAGGTCTGATAAGCGAAGATAGAATAACTATCACTTTCCGCTGTGACATGAAAACGATAAAAGAAGATCTTAACTTCTTTCAATCCTATCTTGCAATCCTCTTTTCGTACCCAAAAATTTCCACTACAGAAAAACTGCTGTGGATTCCTTCCTCTGAATTTGAAGGTGTGATAAAAAGCATGAAGGAAGGAACAGCTCCAGTCCCGATAACATCGCTGCAGACCTGGAAGTACTCTCAACCCATATAATATCTAACTTTTAAAAAGAAAAAGTTCCTTGCGATGCCGGCACGGTCGTCCTGCCCGAGAACGGTGACGGTAAGGATTTTCATAGCTATTGTCAGAGTTGCTTGTTGAGTGTACCCTATGTTCTCCTAGCGAAAACAAATCCAGTTGAGAAAGCAGGTCTTCGGCAAAGTTTCTGCTTTATTGATTATATTGGAACCGTGTTCAAGGTCGTAGAATTCTGTAGGGAATATTACATTTTCTCTCTTCTAAACTTTGTTTGTCGAAAACAAAAACGCGTTGAACAGAGGCGAAACGAATGAAATTCTATCAGAGGTTAACGATCAAAGAGTGGAGCGGTTCTACATAAGAAATCTAGCCGACTATTACCGCGATTGTACCATCAAGGTACACCTTTTCTTCCGAACCCTTCGCATTTCCATGCCGGCAGGCGTGCAGCAAGGCGAGCCCATCTCGTCAAATCTATGGGATGGGTAATGAAGAGATTCTATTGCGACGAGAAGGGAATGCGACTTGATAGCAATTTCCTATTTGAATCTTCGTTTAGCTGACGATATTGCCATCTTTTCTAGAAGTATCATTGAAGCACAGTCGATGTTGAAGTAGCATAACGAAGCACGAAAAGGACACGGATAGGCATAAATAGCAAGAAAGCTCAGATTACGAAAAATCCATGATGTGAAGGGACAGAACAGAGTGGTTCTTTGATTAGAGACACTACCTTGTATGTGTACCTTAGCCACTCAGTGAACCTGGAGGGCAATTTGAAAAAAGAATCATATTGATGAAAGAAAGCAACATAGACGGCGCTCGATTCACTCACTCATAGGAACCACCAACCAACTGAATGAGAGATGGGAGACTTTGTTAGCAATGTGCGATATTGAGCTAGCGAGCTGTCGTGTATTATTTTTGGGTTGTCTTTTTTATGCCTGGCTCATTGGACGAGCAATTTTCCAGCTTTTACGGACATACTGCTTTGCTGATAATAACTAGCAAATCTTCGGTAACCCTTCAGGAGACTGTAGGGTTTGTGAAATCGACAGGATTATAGAAGAGCTTTGATCTATTGCTATATGAATATACATGGTATGTATTCTATTATCAACTTTATGCTGCCGGTCCGTCGTGCAAACACATTACTGTCGGTATTTGGAAGGGTTTTGTTGGTTACATGAATCTATTTTGGTATTCTTGCGTACTCGCAAATTTCATGTAACAACCATAATTCGTCATTGCAACTAAATGAAATGCAGTTAATTGCTAGTCAAATTACCTCAATGAACTTCTTTGAAAAGGTGCTTCTTGTAATTTATTAAGCGCAAAAAACGCCTTTTTCACCATCCCTCCTATTCCTATGCTTTTGACTAGCTACGGAATGAATACACATAGTTGGTAAAAAAGAATCTAGAACGCTCTGAACTGGAAATAGATGCCATAGTGTCCACAATGCTGCTGATGGGTTGAGAGGGCATCTGATGCTTTCTATCGGCAGACCGAAGAATATGGGTCATTGGCAAACTTCAATAAAGGATGTCGTGACAAAACATTGAGTCCCTTTTTATGGTCGAGCTGGCAGAACTCAGTTCTGGCACGCGAAACCGAGGAATTAAGGTTGAAGTTGCGCTTGCACAAGTCATCCACGACTACTACGACAACAGCTGGTACATATCAATGAGAAAAATTCAAAACTACGAGGCGAAAGGCTATACAGAAATTACTTGGTGTTTTAGCTCGTCTTACTTTTGAAGAGTTGTGAGAAGATGTAGCTTTTGTCTAGGGTGCAGTTGTTTTCTTGCATAAGGATCAGCGAATTCAACAAAAGGCAATGGAAGGAGCACAAAAAAAACATAGGCATGTACAATCAATGGTCTCTGTAAGTAAAGTCATGGTCACGCTCAAGTTAAAGAACTTAGCTCTCTAATCAGACGGAAAGCAGAAAGCACCGTTGCAAGCCCTAAGCCTGCTAGCGAGGAGTTTTAACATTAGACAATCTTGTGCGATTGTTCAGCGTTTCTCATTCAACGTGGAACACTACCTCATCCAGTGTACAACAAAAGAAAACAGAATGGATAACTAAGACCATTATGAAATCATTCTGACAAGCGTTATCATAGTCGGCGATTTGTTTAGGACGGTCATGTTAAATTCAGTGAGGACTCAGTCTGTCAGTTCGGCATAGAATGTGACGCGGTTAGAGGGCTTAAAAAATTAGAACACGAGTTGTAAGCGACAACATGGAATCGCGACGGTTCATTTATTTATAATGCTGCGTATAGAAGCTATTTCTAACCCATAAAAATTCTTACACTTCCATATCGTTTATATCCTCAGCCGTCCGATTTTCACAAACTGTTTAAAAGCATACAGACGTTTAACTAAAATGGGTATGGATAGTCAATATCTAGGCTCGCTAATAAGCTCACATAATGTTGGAAACCGCTCCGCATTTTAAGAACTGATGGTTGACGTCACTTAGTTCCACTAACAAGAAGCTTATCTGTGTAAATGGAAAGTGCAGGTGACGCTACTTCATTTATGCAGTGCTCCACTCCACTCCATTCAATTCGATGGGACTACGAAGACCTACATCGCTCGAAATAACTGCTGTGCACAATTTGACCCGAATCATTGGCCTGTGAAGAAACCCATGACATCGAAATATTATCGGCAATAAGAATTTATAGCAAAGTCGCTTTATAGCAACGTGGCCTTGGCTTATCAGTGAAGCAAGGACATGCCCAGCTACACCTCCAGAAGGCCAAAAATATGAGGAAGGTAGGTAAAGCAGTAGAAAACTCATCTTGAAGCAAAATTTATTTACCAGAACTAAGAAAGGGTGTTTGCAATGATTATGTCGTTGACATAGTTTTTACATCTTTTGTGGAAAAATTGATATTGATGTAAAGAGCTCCTCCTGGTCTAAAAATTCGATGCCTATCTATGTTGAGGAAACGGGAACGCTCAAGCAGAGCTATTCTAAGATTTCATCAAGAAACAATAGTACCAGCATTTAACTATATTTATAATAAAAAACAAAAAATACAAAAATTCGTCAACAATTGGCCGAACCTATACGCAAATCCAAAGGCTTTTTGTAAACTATGAATATGAGGAAATGAATCCACTGGAAAGGCTACTCGAATCAGCATAATGTGTGATACCTGTAACATGGCAGGTAAAAGCAAAGTACTAATGGGACTACACATTTCGTTGATCCTTATATTTTACGATCTTGCAATTGCTATTACGCTATTCCATGAACTAGTACAGTATTCACTACACAGGATTAAAACAACATCTTTATGGCTACATAGTTGGGTGTACTTTACGAAAGATATAGGGAAATAACAGAGGAGAATACAGCGTAGGAGGTAAGTTCGTCCTGTGCAGGAAACGTGATCCTAACTACATAAACTCCTAGGGTAAAACCCACCTGTTCATAGCAGCTCCACACGAAAAAACCTCCCTATTTCAATGAGATGGTAAATCATCGAATAAGCGCACTCGAAAGCTTAATGAGTGGCCTCGTTAAAAAATAGTTTACCTTCCACTATTAGTCAGAAGTCATTTCCACACGTTTAAATATAGGCTTCCAAGAAAACAAACTTTATTAAGGTGATCCTTGTTTGTTGATTCATATGAAGGCATCCTAGTGACGAATATACGGAGGAATGTTTGCTTAAACCGTAAAAAAGATCACATTATCCGTACTATAGTATAATATAATTATAGCAATGCCGTAACACTCGGTTTGTAGAGTCAAAGGGGTTGGATAGCCAAGAAATTCGATAACATGATCATCCGAATTAAAAATCTCATTAAAGTGCCACGTAGTATTATTCTCAGCGGCCACCAACCTCATTACGTCGAGGAAAAATGTAGTGTCGGTCGATAATAGTTTGTACTAATTGGTATCGACAATTGCGAACGTCTACCATCACATTTATAGGCCTTCGTGAAGACTTAGAAACTCCAAACAACGCGCTTTTCACATGCTGCGCTTGTTTACTAGTACACCATCGTAAACCAATTCTAACCACTATAAACTAAGTTCATTTGCAGTTCTTAAATTGCTCTTGAAAATAGTCTCCTTGGTTCTGTTAAGAAACTCGATTGCAAAACCATTACACTATCTGTTTGTTGGACATGTTATCGAGTGATGATTGCGCTGTACTGCTAAGATTCGGTATTCGTGAGTGAATGAACCAAGGGAACGAAAAGGTGAGTGAGACGCACTTGCGAGGATACCTGATTTGATGAAGGCGTTACCCACTGTGGCTCCGTCCGCTCCTTTCCTGACATGAGCCTGTAAGTCATATCACCAGTGCATCGAACGAAAGCAACATGTTAGTTGACAATCTTGACGAAATATCTTCAAAATAACATATGGTCAACATTTTTTAGGCGGGAGATAGAAGAAAATTTATGACAAATTATATGAGAAGAAAAACGATGGCACGCTGAAATCGTGCATATGACCTCAACCCTAAGTGGATAGAGCTGAAATAGACATTATAAAGACTCTTTAGAACAAAATTAAAGTTCAATTTGAAAGACATATAATGACCTCACAAAAAGCTAAAACTACTCAAGCTGCAATGACCGACAAGTGTCGATGTGACGAGTAAGTACAGAGTTGTAGAAAGCTAAATTTCATGGGTGTTATCCAGATTTTCTCACATATATGATAGTGAGTGAGAGGAGTACACCTCGGAAACGGCGATTTACAGGCAGTTTGGTGATTGTAGCAATGAAATTGTTCGATATTTACAAATGCTGAAACTCAATAAGTGGAGGCAGGAACACGCTGACATGCTTTAGTGAGCATATTGAGTGTCTTAAAATGCCAGCAAGGGTTCACAATCACTTTTGAGTAGACAAACTAACGGTAGAAGAGCTCCTTATGGGTCCACCTTCCTAGAAAAGAACAAAAGCCAGCATATTCTCTAGGTTTACTTGAATATCCTGGCTACATCTATTTCATCTGTCACGAACGACCAAGAAGGGAGGGTGGGGTTTATGAGCAACCTTACATAAAATTATTTCAAAATTTCTTGTAATGATCTCCTCTTTAGTGGATTTCAAAAATATTTGCGCTTCTAACTGTGCTAGATTATCAGCAAATAACGCCGGAAAAAACATTTCTGAATTAATGGATATATAAGCAGTTACCACGGCTTTTTTAGAAGTAGTTTTCTCACAGTGCTGGTGATACTGATATTGCTTCAGCTTAAAGAACACTACTATTGTCGTCGTCCAAAAACAAGCAACTCTCTTTCATTACCACGCTAAAGATTTCTGTTAATCTGCAAGTCAGCAACGATTGAAAAGTCATCGTGAGCCGTCACACCCTCGTCCCTCAATTTGACCAAGTGAATGCACTGATTATTTAGCAGGAAGCACCGCATTCGACAGAATTGCAAGGTGCGCTTTAAGCATGCGTGCTTCCTAACAGACAATCAACAGCAACACACCTAGATCTGTAAAAACGAAACTGGGAGACGTCTCAAGTTCGCTTTCCTTAAAGGTACCCATAATTTTCTCAAAAGTACAGTAGCTGAAGAGTTTAAAACCTGATGGATTTGCTGAAGAGCTTTGCTCTTTCCCCTCAATGGTGCCCAAAATTTTTAAATATTTTTCAACCATCTCCTAAAAAATGTTTAGGATTGAATTTTTCCAGAAAACCCAAAACTAAACTTAAATTCTTAAAATCTCCAACGCAGGTGCGGAGTCTCGAACATGAACCACGCAGGAGAACACCATTTGTCCTGCCGGACAAAATCCCGCTTTCTCAATTACTTCGCTGTTCGAAATACGAGCCTTGGCAGAAAATGCGCTTTATGGTCAGCAGGAAACCATAACTTCATCTTGTTATGACATGGGAACGGTATCATGGAGGCAGGGATCCGCAAATTTAGTGTAATCTGTGATCTATCAGTGCAACTAGAAGGGAACCATTATTTTCGCGAGAAATGCATTCGGCTCAATGCAGAGCGTTATGCATTAAGACACGAAACATAGACAAGCTATATAAGCTATGGCCTTAGCAAGAGCAAAAAGAGGTTAAGAAGAGTTAAATATTTAATCACTTGTGGTTAGAAATTCTCAACTAGATACCGTACTGATGATGGAATGGTTCGAAATTGTTCAGAACTGTCCCGACGAAATGGACACTTTCTAATGATTTTCAAGAAAAATTCAGGATAACTTTGAAATCATTCGAGCAATATTCTTACCCATGTTATACCAAAGAAACAAATCTCAAAGGTCACAAAAATGAAGTTTCTAATGGACAATGATCGAACGCACTAACAAGTTGTAGCGTGAAGCTTATTAAAAAATAATTTGAAAAGAAACGATGATGCAAGAAAGTGCGAATCGAGAATAGCATTCGTGTAGATTATGACCTTTCATGAGTTACCAGTTTCGGTATAGCCACTAGAGAATTGGGCAGCAGCCCTCTCATTGCCTCAGACGCGATCGATGCCTACGGGGCACGCATCGAGACCTCCCCAGACAATAGCCCACAGCGCCGGAATTCGTCGACGCGTCGAAGCGAGCCTGTTCTTTGCGTTAACAATGACGATTTCCCTAAAATTGTGGTATAAAAGAAGCCCTCAGGACAAAAATACGATCCGAGGAATGACAATGAGTAATATAGTATTTCAATAAATTACAGTAGAGAAATCACTGAAGGATAAGAATAATGGACACTTTGTTACTCCATATATAGTGAAAATGTGGCTCTGAGATATGAACACATTGTCTAAAACGATTGGAAAATGTGCATCCTGTTTACTAGCAGGAAACCTTCTTATGAGAGAGTTCTCGCAACCTTCAACAAAGAACAAGTAGTTATCGCTGTTCTCCATCACAGCCGAGATATTCGAGTAATAAACAAATACGAATGAAATCTGGATGGATAGGAAGCAGGAAGGAGAACGGTTTGCAACCAAGAAGAAAAAATGTGTGCACAGGGACGTTTCGGAGCTGACTGAAAAGCTCTGTGCAGATGTCGGCGGCACTTCAGCGGCGGGACTGGAGAGCGGGCCGCCGTCGACGACATTCCCACAACAGCGAGGACTCACTCACTCGACAAGGTCCGCAGCCACGACGGACACCCGCCAGCATCCGCCTCCCTTCCTGTGTAATGGCACTCTGCGTGCCTCGCCAGCCACCAGCATCGCTTCCTCTTGGCTGACCGCCATTCATTCCTCTCAGCCAGCTTCTACACGGATCTGTCATCGCTACATTGGATAGTGTTCGTTACATATTTTTTTCATTTGCATGACTCGTCACCACATACACTATACAGATCTCAGCACTTCTTGCATTCGATTCGTTTTCCTCGCATTCACCATCCACAGAGGTTTTCGAATATTTCAGTTCTTTCGGCTGCTGTTTGAGGATCTCATCTTTTTTTTTATGAATGTCGCATAATGCTGGTCGATCCCACTTTTCTTGAAATCTTAGAGGTAGCCGAGATGTGGCTTTCCCACGTAGACTGGACGAGAGCGTAGGAACGGGATCGAACTAGCACCTTTGCTTCCTTCCTGATCTAACCACTGGGCTCTCCCCGCCCTTGTTTGCACGTGCAACGACGATCTCACATGTTCATGTACTCACTTGCATAGAATTTCTTAGTCACGTGTACCCCTTTGTAAATTATCGTTTTCCGTTCTCCTCACTGTGGTGATCATCGACAGTCGTCGAATAGTTGTGATCACTTTGCCGAAGATGAAAGCGCTGTTCGGTAAGCACAATATAAGGAGAATAATCCTCATACGAAAGCGGCCATGTTTGTGTTTGGTTGTATCACAATAAACGCCATTAGTTCACAGCACATGTGAACGAGCGAACAACTCGACTTTAATTGTTGACTTACGATGTTGCTCGGAATTCATCCAGACATTATGGTCATGCCAGAACAGGAATTGCTTTAACATATTTGTGCCTACCTGAGTCATATGTAGCTCATACGTCGTTGAAAACAGTTCAAAATCTAAACCTTAAACAAACAGATCTGAACTCATATTTATTTTTTCGTAGCTACTTCATAGTTGCTTTTATTTAATGCCTATGCATTCTACTAATTGAAACAAAAACCGCTAAAATCTTCAGATCCTTGCCAAATCAATATAAATTGATTAAATTCATTGCGATAGAGTGTTAAGTTTCCGGAGCACATAGATGATTTTTTCGCTTCTTGTCGCTGACGCTCGGATTTCAAGCAGTGATTCTTAATGATGTATGTATATATATACTTTGTTGTTGTCATTTATATTTCTTCTTCCTTTTCGATTCTTGTCACTTGGTTGTCGTGCAGTCTCTTGGATACATAAGGAGCACGTGAATTCATTCTCTCAGCTGTATTCGTCATTTGGAGATGCACCAGTCATCGCTGCAACAGCAAATGTTCTCTTGAAGCGAATGAGATATCGCCGATCTTAAAGTATATTTGGGAGAGAGCATACATCTAATCACCTAACGGTGACAGCTCAGGCGGTGAAAGACCATAGAGAGATGATGGTCTCAGCAGAGATAAGAAAAGGCCTTAATAAGAAAAGGAAAAGGCCTGAATGAGGTTGATATAGTTATTGTTCGTCACTAATTTGATGGGTAAAATCAGAAACGACTGCTGCAACATCGCTTAGATCCAGATATCATATCAGCCATCGCCCACTGTGCGTTTTTCTCTGGGAATGCCTTGCAAGGCTATCCTAAGGCTTTCAAAAGAAAACATATCATTCAAACGGTAAATGTGTTATGGTAAGAAAGTTCATGAACGGCAGCTATCTCTATGTCCATTGTTAGTAGGTGTATTTTCCCACATGTTACTTCGTCTTATTTCTTAACAACAAAGACATTTTGAAACACGACTATAGATACATCCCAGACAACAACTCCATACTGTATGGATGCCATTACATGAAATATAAATTAGTTGGACCTGAACGAATTGAGATCGAAGAGAGTGTGTGAAGGCAGTATTCATACCAATTAACATAAATAGAAAATATCTTCAAGTTACCTACTGAGAGACTCGATTAAAACTCAATAGAATCGAATGCAACGAGAACGAATTTTGATATCAAATTCTTCTAAGCAGCACAAAGGCGGTGACCGAAAAGTAGCTCCCTATTTAGAAATACTTAAAGTTTACTCAAGTATTAGGATATTCTTCTCAAGTTTTTTGCGCACGATCGCTAACGTCTGGGAAATAATTCTATGATGACGTTGTTTTTTTTTTCAGACCGACTTTTTTGCTTAAAATTTGGAAGCCCTTCAAAAGTGGCCGAAAATGGCTGAACATCTTACGCTACAAGAGTATGTTCAACTAACAGCACGTCACGAAGTCTGGAGATCTGTTGCTATAGTGCAAAGGTGAAGGAGGACCATTTTAAGGAACTTGTTCTTGCATAGAAACAATCGTGAATCATGATGCGAAATTTATCGCTAAATAATCTATGGCTGATGTTCAAAGATGCCATTGCCGTTCCACTTTCATTAACCCAGAGTTCTTACAATTGTTCAAGAGGCATTGCCTGATAGCCCAAAAAAATTAACTCAACAAGCAGCAAAGAAAGGTGGGCTTTGCTTTTATTGTATATGAACAGTGCTTAATAAGAAGATTTGTGCTCATGAATGGCTGAGTACCCACCCACTGAGAGATTGTTGCGTCGCTGCGGTCCTCATCAGTGCCCAGCCAGAAGCCCTGACTTTAAACTTTGCGACTTTCCTTTTTCGAATCGGCTAATAGAGCAAGTCAAATCTACGGAACCAATAATTTTGGAAGAAGTTATGGGGCCAATAGAGAAGCTATGTTTTCGCCCAATGAGAATTCTTGGTGAAATTAGCTGATGCGGTTCCTGAGTTGCTTCAGAAACCGTTTGCGAATACTGGTGCTCTTATTGGATTTCAAATAGAGCTCCATGCTGTGCGCTTCAGAACAAATTCATTTCTTATAAGAATTACAGCTATAAAATGAATTATGACGATTTTAAAACAGAGAGTTACTTTTCGACCACCTGTATATTGCAATTACATACTGCATAACAATCGGTGTGATATCGATAAAGTAATACAATAGGTTTTTAAAATAAATAAACAACCTTTATTAGGTTGCTGTGAGAATCGAAGTAGTGAATGGGAATTTCAGGCGTTTATGCAGAACCAAGATCTTGAGCTAGAAATAGGCTGCATTGAGCCAATGTCTTCACGACGCCATCGTCGCTTAGCGAAGAGGTGGTCGTCGAGTGTTGGTTGTCCTGTTTCCGAGCTTTAGCGCTTCCTTTAGCCCACGGTTGTGTGTCGGCGGAACCCCACACGGTAAAGAATACAACAGGAAGAAGCGCCACCACCGCAGAAATCTCGAACACTACTGCCCACTCATTCGGCGTTCCAGATCTGTAACAGCACTCACAAATAGTGTGCACTCTGTTAGTTGATAAACATCTCTGCTCTTTATAATTTGACATGGAGCTACTACTACGTCCATACTAAATTTATAAACACGTTGATGTCACAACTGCAGTTCCAGCTTCAATCTCGTTGCGGTCAAGTCTTTTAATGAATTACTATTTTATCTCTTCCTACCCAGTGAACGATCACGGAAGTACAAGAAGCTTGGTTATTCCGAAAGCAGTTTTGAAGACCTCACGAACAAAAGCAAGGTTTCTTAAGACTGAGCCAATGAAATCTCCAGATGTGAAATGAGGTAAAGTTCTTTTTATGAAAATGGAAGCTAAAAACTTGCAATAGTATAAAGCTGCTGGCGATCTTATTTATAATGGAAAATATAGCAGAAAAGGAGAATGCGATCCCTGTAATAATCCCGCTATATGCTGGAGCAAGTTGCACAAGAGCTGTTTGTACTCCAGGTGTATGCATTCCTAGAAACTGCGAACATTTGAACTATATTAAACACATCATGCGGAAAGTACAAGCATGAGTGAAACGGACAAATGAACAATACCTTACCAGCAAATGCGTTCGCAAAGCAAAGCACTAAAATTACTGGTACTGGATTTCCTTTCGACCCGAGAAGAGGCACTAATCCTACACAAATTGCAAGACCTAGTGAACCGATGAGATTAAAAAACTTGCAACATGTTGTTGCCCCTAAAATTCGATGGATAACACTCTTCAGCACTTCTATTACAAGTCCAATCATAAATTCGGAAATCTAACCCAGAAGCGGTGGCTTCCGTGCCGTTATTAAGGACGCAACAATACATGACAGAGTTTTAGAAATTAGGAGAACAATAGAAGGAAGCGAAGAGATAAGACCATTTGTTGTATTCGATAACTCTAGCACATCAGAGAAATACTTAGGAAGAAGCTAAAAATGTAAAATATTCAGTTTAGGTGGAACAGTACTCTCTATTTTTATCCCTCATGCAATTACTCTAGAAATGGTGAAAATATATGCCCAAAAATGCGTTTGATCCAGGTGTAGAAACCATCTCGAAAAGTTGAGAGTGTTAGAATAATCGTTGGAGTTTTCCAATAGTATTAAAAAGTAATTGTTGGCCGTAAATTGAATTTACCTGCAACATGATAACAAGAGGATATTCATGGCAAACCAACGCCCCTATGCCCATGTACAAAGGCAGGCATTGAACAAGTTTATTCCAGGGCGGGCTTCCTCTGTCACTACGCTTTCCAATTATTTCTTCCTCTATTTTGCGTAAAATATATCTTTCTTCTCGCTGAAAAGCAATATCACGCAAGTGACTTATGCATTTCAAAAAGTTAGATGAGCTATGGAGAGAATAACAACAGCAAAATAACAATCCCAGGTCAATTCTCTCCCACCTTCGACACACAGAAATGCTTCGAGGGTTTATCAGCAGAGAGAAAGAGCCAAACAACAAGTATTACAGCGCCGATAATGGAAGACAGGTAGAAAATCGCACGCCATCCATATTCCATCGGACGTTCACAGAATACTCCACCGATTGGCAGAATCAAGAGTGTTCCTTTAAAAATTCACCTTTAACACTTTCGCCTCTGTGTTCTCTGACAAAATTCAAAATTCTCCATAAGAGTTCTTTCATATTAAATTCTCAGTTATAAGCACAGCACTGCCAAAACTTGGCGGTTAGTTTGGAGCATTTCCAGATGAAGCGAAACTATTCGCCGCAGAACTCAAGCTGGCATTTTTAATTCGATAAGTTTTTGCTGTGCATTGATCCTATATAAACTTCAACTTTGGATATAGTTTGGATACAAACAATATAGTCAAATAAACGAACAAGTGGAGAACGAATTACTAGTTTTGAAATAACAATAAATCCAGGTCTGTCTTTGTAATAAATCTTTGTAACAAGCATAAGGAACAAAAAATGTGAAGAATATTTAAGGTCTGTTGACGTTCAATGTTTTCCTTTTTCCAATGTCCCTCCATACAAAGATTTAGAAGTCTGTAAAGATGAGGTTTGAACAGTGAATCAATGAAGTCTATGAATTGAAATATTACGGAAATTTTCGAACTCTGGCATGGCGAATGTTGACGCTGCCCATCAGAAAGCTAACCAGTCCTCCGGCGTCATAGTACATTATATTATGCTGTTTCCATGTTCCCTCCCAATGGTTTGCCCCTCATCATTGCTAGGAGATGTTCCTGTGTGCCGGATTGCGATGTACAGCGGGGATTCATCCCCTGGCAGGGTCTCCTAAGCTGAGAAGGAGTCCGGCGTTTCCATCAGGAAGCCGAGCTAAGAGTAAACCAATCCCAGGATCCACTAACGTCCTGATATCAAAGTGGCATGGTGGAAGGTCTCTTTCTGATCCATAAGGGCTGCGTTTTCTATCAGGAAGCTTAGCTAAAAGTAAACCAATACCAGGATCCTCTGCCGTCTGGTTATCAAAGTGGAATGGTGGCAAATCTCCTTCTAATCCACAATGCTGCGACTGCCTGTGGTGGTGAAGACGTGAGGCAGACTTTGGCCAGGTTGACCTCGGGATTCCAGGGAGCCACAATGGTTTAACCAGAAAATCTCCGAAAAGTGGAGATTATGTTGCGCCCGCACAGTGAGGACGGGCCATTCAAGTATCAAGCATAAAGTAAGTACGTTTCCTTGTTCTCATGAATAAAATTACGTAGCCCATAGTAGCAGCCAGAAAACAATTTACTTTGCAACAACGTTTGTTAATAGCAGATTTAAAAGGTTGCTTGTACGGTACCTAACTGCCTTCCACCGGTGATAAATCCAATAGCAAACGACCGCTCTTTAGGTGGAAACCATCTTGTGATCATTGATGAAGCCGATGGAAATAGTAGTGCGTCTCCAATACCGGTGATCATCCTGAACGGGGTTAGCAGTTGACTTTACTAATGAACTTTTGTCGACTGTGTTCACAGTCAGCATAAAGGAAGTTCATGCGAATAATAGCAGTGATCCCTGAATTCTGTACTTACTATGCGTGTACTTATTGTTTATCTCATCTTGGAATGCATGTAGTATTAGTCTAGCTGTGTTTTTTTGGGCAAAAATAGTGTTCAGGCGCAACTTAACGCCTTTTTACCACTTATAAAGAAAATTTTAGTGGTGGAATCTGTGTCCCATAGAGATTAAATTCGTTGAAAATTCAGAATAAGCGTAAATGGGAAGGTTTTTCGCATTTCGTCAACAACACTCTGTGAATGCACATCATTGTTACGCCAAACAATATGCTAAGTTCTATTTGCATTTGAAAAGAGTTCAAGCTCTTCATCTCTAACTTTTTTCAAGAAAAATGACTTTGCTTACGATCTTCAACTGGCGGCAGAGTTTTACGAGTTTGTGGGTTTTTCAGACTCGAGTCATTTATAAAATGCAAAGGCCTTTAGTAGGATAATGAGTACCTGAAAGCAGCAACTAGCCATGGCGAAGTAGAGGCTACAGTTGGTAAGAGTGAGTTTGACAAAATGAGTAGAGTCAAAGCACTTGCTATCGTCCACTTGCCATTTAAACGGTCTGCTTGCCAGCCAGCTATTAACATAAATAATGAGCCCACATTCTGGGCCGCATAGATCACACCTGCAAAAGTACTGTTCACTCTGACACTCCTGTTTCTCATCAATTGCTCATGTTTGGAAAAGAAATGTACTGCTCGCATCAACACTATCCGTTACAGTTTTCGTTTAGCTGTTCAGTTTTCTGTTATGGGAAGAAACACTACTCAGAAACTGCGAACCGTAAAGAACGTACTGATTCTTAGAGACCTAATGACGGAAAAAATTTTATAGCTTATAGTTAAAACGAAGCATTTCAAAGACATTTTAATGTACTAAAGGGCTAGAGATATAAATAAAGATTGAAATCAATTTTAACACATTCACCTTGCTGCTGTGAAGTCCACTTCAGGAGGCCATGTTGTTGACAAGAAACGACGATTACAGAGTTATTTGGAGACTTTTGATAGCACGTGGCATCTTGGGCAGATAAATTAGAATCAATAGGAGGAGAAGTTAACAAACCACCAAGGTCCCGCTCTAGCCGAATATGGCGATTCTCAGTGACCTTGTGATTAGGCAGAGGGGATGGCTTACGTACCATGCATACCATTGCTTGAGAAATATTTGATGTCGTTACAGACAAAGATATGAAACAGAAACAAAGTAGGATTGCCATGAATAGTCGCGTCGACGGGAAGACACGGCTCTTATTCTCCATTGGACAAAGAGACAGCTCATTCCATTCTACCGGTCTTACTGTAGACATGGCCTCAAATTCACTGTGTCATAAATGGACTCCTAAAAACCTGGAAGATAAGTAATTTAAAAGGCAGAAAAAAAGAAATACAGCTAATGATAGATAGGGAGATAGAAGCAGACAGAGCCTACAAAGACGTTCACAAAAAGGTGGCTGAGGTTACAAGCGAAGCAATATGTCACGTCGACACGCTGAGTGCAACTGTTAAACTTGAGCGAAAAGAGCTTGCTTTGAAACGCGTGTGGATTCAGCAGATAAACTTCATATACCCCCATTGCTAAACTACGGTGTAATTTTCACAACTATTCCACTAGTGGATTGTCTCTTCGTGGTTACGGGCTTTCTCACCACGGAGATGTACAGCATCGAAGTTCACGCTCTCACAGGTTAGCATTCCAAGGTCAACCGAACGAACGTACTTACTTGAATTGCTACTTGGAAGCCCCGTCTTCACTAGTAGTGTGGGCTTCAGCTCATTTTGCAAACGCTGCTTTCTCGAGCAATTGTTCCCCATGGTGGCGGTCTGCCTCGAACTGGTGATGTCCGCCGAGACAAATTCCGTAGTCTTAAAATCGCTTCCATCTGTTAATGAAACCACGACCACGTCCGCACATCGCTTGGGTATCCTTCTGAAAGAACGCTTGCACTCTGTTAGAGTGCACTTTACTGTTTTTTTCATTCATCCGTTATTTTTTTTTCTCTTGAATCATCGAACCATATGTGCCATCCTATTGAGGTGTGCTCTTCTGGATCTGAATAATCAGTGATCGGAGGGGCGCTGCAACACAAGTGGAATCGGTCCCCGCTCCCATGGCCTACCTAATCTTCCACCTCTCCGGGTTCGGAAAATTGGTACCAGACTTGTCTAAGAGTAGAGCAGCATTGGTTCGATACATCGGTAGGCCACCGCGAGTCATTGTAAGGCCAGATATGCATTCAATCACCTCCAAGCGATCCTTAATGAAGTCGAATGTACGGCGCATCCCTCAGGGATTGATCAACTCCGAAAGCTCTATACTCTTTATCCTCCTGGATTTCGAAGATTCTATATTAAAATAGAGTCAGACAATTTGGGAGCCTGAAGAAGAACAAGCATTTGTAACGAAGGCTCCGAGGTAGAAAAACATTACAGCAATATTTGAAAAGCCAACTTTTCTTTAACTTCGGTCTGACTAATAGACATGGCTTAGATTGTTCGGTTTACGCTTAGTTATTATAGAAGTTTTATTCAGCTACCGTCTTCATCATTCCCAGAGTCGATGATCTGAGTCTATTTCCACAGCTCCTTGTATTCTCGATGTAGCGTCTTCGTCGTCGTATCGAGACGTATCTTCTTAAGTGGAGCGTCGCTCAAATTAAGCTATAGTAATATGCTCATCTGACCAACAACGGCCGATGACTACCTTAAGAACATGGAAATGCCTGGAACATGTTTCTCGGATCTACAAGTGGAAAATCTTGCTATACAAGCAAGTACGCTACTCAAATGGAAACTGTGCCCAAGTGCGCAACATTTTGTGAGTAACAGCTATTCAAGTATTAACTGTGTATGTTGGATTATCGATGGCTGCTTTAGTGCATAGTAATTCTAATGGGCCTGTCAGCTAGATTAAAAAATTGCAGCAATAGTAACAACTTTGATGATGTGAGCCGAACTGCATAGAGCGAAGTTCTCAGCGTCGTTCCCTCACTGTCGATGGAATAAGACTGACATTGTAAAACCCATGTAAATGACCACAGAAACCACTATTTTTTGACCAGTAGATACGACCAGGAATGGTATAGCTTTATCTCCATAAACTTAAAAAACTATGCTGAGGTGGAAAGATTTGGAGGAAAAAGAATTGTTGAGGAACAAAGACGTACAATAAATAGTGTGTCGAGAAGGTGTGGCTGTTCTGCACTTACGCACAGCTTTATAAACATCAAACACGAACGAACTGACATGTGTGGTTTTTTGTTCAATTGAGCCCTTAGTTTGCCTAGGCAAGTCAGCCAGCCGGAAGGAGTCGACGAAAAAAACCGGGTTGAATGTAGTAAGTTGATCAAAAACGTGGGTGGAATCATGTTCATGTGGGAGTACAACTTTGTGACAATGCAAATAAATAGGAGAATGAAACACTTGGGCAAAACATGGTCAATCTCCAAATTACTATACGTGTGCAACAAGTTCAAATTGTCTAGGCACGAAAGAATACGATAAAATCAGGGCATGTAAAGATAACAAAGCGAGAAGGAGCAGTCGTAATTCTGGATTTGAGGAAAAAGCGCTACTCAGATAGTAGCGGCCAACAAAAAGACCAACCGAGGCGAGGTCATCGTAATAACATAGTATACTTTGAAGCGAAAAGATGTAAAATTAGAAGTGAGGAAGTGTTCTGAAGAAGATACGTGTGTAAGTGTTCATCGCTCACACATTTAGCATTTAAACAATGACGTCATGAGAAAAAAGAACAGTTTTGAAGCCGCCTTTAATCTGTTGTAATAAATTTAACAAGTCTGCATTAAGTACTTGAGTGAGATTTTAAGTAGTAGGCTCATAGAGATAATGGTTGTACATGACCAAAACGTGAAGAAAAATGTTTCAAAAACCGATACGCTGACAGCATAAGTGCAATTGGAACAAACCAAGAGTGTCGACCGAAGGTCGGTAATTGACATCATTCCCTGAAAACTCTGAGTGCTCTTTATACTGTGTTATATAGCTGGAGGAGAAAATATGGTATCCACTCATTACCGGAAAGTTGCATCAGATAATCAATACCAAGCTTGGAGTGCGCTTCGTGGTCAACATCAAGGTGTAAACTGTTCAGTGTATGTTGACGTGTTTGGGTAAACGGCCATGTGGTCAATAAAAACAACTCCCGGAACCTGTGCTCGGTGAGCATATACACTGTGAACAAAAAAAATGCTTTAAGGTTGTTTGATGAATTCCGGATAGGAGTGGATTTGATCCACATGCGATCATTTTGTAGTGCAAACTTACTTTGCCAGTTTCTACGCTTGTGTACATAACTATGAAGACGAATTCAAACCGAAATTCTCAAAATGGACTACTTAGGTGTAGAGTACTCGAAAATTCCGAAATAAAACATTTTACCACTATGAAATGTACTAACCCCACATAGAATCTTCTTTATAGTACACCATAAACGCCCTCAGGCTGTTATGAGAGATTTCTCGAAATATCTTTTTTTGACCTAAAGATAGTTAACATATTGGTGACGGTAGAATGATAAAAGTGTGGGAAGTGGTAAATGATGAGGCCCATCAAGAACAAGGCGCAGGTTCGACTACTTTCCAACAATCTCCTTCAGTCCATGTAGAAACTTAGCACGGCTATCTCCAACATTTCGAAAAAAGACTAATCAAACATCATTCTGCGATATTCATAAAGAAGACCAAATTGTCAAGAATCAGCTGAAAGAATACGTGAAAAGACGAAGACCACTGTGCACGGTCATTGCGAAGGAAATGAAACGAATACATGAAGTGCTGGGATCCGCACAGTTGCTGTGAGGACGAGTCGTATAAATAAAAAATAACAAAATATAGCAGATTAAATTATTTAAGTGACCAAAAATGGGGTTTCAAGTGATTTAAATCTCACGTAAAAGATCTCCTTCGATAAATTTCCTCAACGCTGTGATGATGTGACGATCACGTGGAACTCTACTCTCCTCTGCCGATCGATTTTTTCGTGAAAAACTGATGGAAACGGGTATATGGACATGAAATTGTTTTACCTTATAACTATGAGAATATTGTACTATTTAAACAAATAGAGCGCAAACATTGAAACCAATTTTTAGAAAGAAGGCGGTTACGCTAGTAGGAAGATATAAAGTCAGCGGTCTTCCTCTCGTGTATTTCTATTTTAACGCTTCTTTTTTGGAAACGGTTCCTAAACACCGAGTTCTTGCCAGGGTTTTTAAAGAATTTTTTTTCCAATTTTTTTAACACTGCAAGGTGCTTTCAGAAACGACAACGAACTAGGGAACCTCCTCAATTCTAAAAGCGTCCTCAAATGGGAGCTATCGAATTATAACCGAACAATCTACAGTACTGAAAGGTGACATACCACCTGTATCATCCGCATTCCTATTAATTAGCTAGCAGGTCCGACTGACACACTTAAAAGTTTCATTTGTCACTGTTTCCTCCATCTATCCACGTATGGCATTGGTCAGAGAAATTCTGAAATACACTCAGGATCGATTTTTGATTCGATCCCGTGTCCCGTGCTCACCAAGCCGTTCATATTCCGAGGTCTGCAAATTAGTACCACAGTTCATCATTAACTTATTATATCTGCAGATAACCGAAAGTCATTTTATAGGCCAAATATGCATCCAATCACCCTTAACGATGTTTGATGAAGTCGAATTCACGGCGAATTCCTCAGGGATTGACCAACGTTCAAAACCTCATGCTTTTTATCATTTATTCTCCAACTCCACCTACTTCATCTATTGACGTGCCAATCTTTCCTTGAAAAAGTCTCCAGATCTCTCACACGATGCGGAGAAATCACGGTTGGAGAGTAAATATTATCAAAAATGGGTGAAAATGGGAAATTCAACAGTGTTCTATAAGTTGTTGTGCCTAGTTTGTGTAGATGAGAAAAATATATGAAGATATCTGTATATAAAGATAAAATTTAATGTCTCCTTGTTGAGCAGACATGAGGTTATTAATAATTACCGTGTTTAAAACTGGCTAACATTCTGGCGTTTTCGAGCTTTTTACAGCCTGGAAAGCTCAAATTGACACGCGATCAACTCAGCAAAGCACTTTCATAACCTGAGCAGATGAAACTTAATGCATAAATTTTATCCGCATAGTGAACAGCTTTTTTCAAACACTCATCGCTTTGTTCTTTATAACTCTTCCACTTGTTGTTAAAGAATCAGCTTTAGTTATGGTGCAACTTTACGCGTGATCAGTAAACACTCCTCTCAGCGGTTCCTCTTTGGATTTTAGCAAACTGTCTAAAATGTCCCGAGAGT